GGAACTCCTGGGTTTTGCAAACCTTTGAAGATGGTTTAGGAACTCCTGGGTTTGCAAAGCTTTGGAGAAGGTTGGGGAGAGGGTTTAGGAACATGTGGGTTTGCAAAGCTTTGGAGATGGTTTAGGAACTCCTGGGTTTGCAAAGCTTTGGAGATGGTTTAGGAACAGTTGGGTTTTGCAGGAGCAGGGTGAAGATGGTTTAGGAACTCCCTGGTTTTGCAAAGCTTTGGAGATGGTTTAGGAACTCCCAGGTTTGCAAAGCTTTGGAGAGGTGGGAGATGGTTTAGGAACAGTGACCTTCCCACCCCTGGGAAAGCAGTTTTGCCACTGAGCCTGTTTTACCCCAAACTTCCCGGGGGATAATTCCCAGTCCCGTTTTCCTTCAACACCCCCCTTTCCCTTGGTTTTTTTTGCACACAGTTCCTGCTGGCAGCAGGTGAGGACAGCAAATCCCTGGGATTTATGGAAGGCTGGGGGATCAAAGGTTGTGCCTCCAGCTCTCCAGGACATCTCAAGTATAAGGTAACGGACTGATGACAGAAACACCTCATCCCATAAATCCACCTTAACCAGGGGCACGTGGCACAGGGGGGGCTAAATCCATGGCTGGAAAACAAATCCCTCGACCTTATTTCCCAGGAAGCTGCCAACCCGTTTTGGCTCCTTGGCAATAAATAAATAAATACTCTGATATACAAATATCCTGATAAATTAACCACATCAAACCATACAAATGTGATTTATAAACATGGGTTATTTATCAGGATAAATATAAATACGGGATGCAGACCCACCAGCAGCAAGCCCAGGAATCAATCCCACTCCTTGAGAGGGAAGACAAGACACAGCTTTTTCCCAACATACTTCAAGACAAGAACATTATTATCATTTTTACCAAACTCTCACTATCACAGAAAATCCTGGAAGGAACTTTAGTTATTCAGTGTCATGGTTTATTTATCAGGATAAATATCCTGACACTAAAATATCCTGATAAATAAACCTCATTAACCCCATAAATGTGGATTATGAACCTGATTTATAAATGTGGTTTATAACACTGATTTTATAAACATGATTTATCAGGATATTTATCCTGATAAATAAATCTCATTATGAACCTGATTTATAAATGTGGCCTGTAAATGAAATTTATCAGGATAAATATCTAAATATCCTGATAAATAAAACCCACGAAACCCCATAAACATGGATTACAAACCTGATTAAAACCATGTTTATTTATCAGGAACCACCTAAGCTGTTGTTACAACCTTCCAGCCACATCCAGGGTTTTCCCATCCCGGCACAGCCGGAGTGGAGGAGCCATAGGAATGGCAGACAGAGTGGGGAAGCTTCCCATGCCAACTAATTCCAGGAAAATGCCATGTGACAGCACCAGCCACCGCTTCTGTCAGGTTCCCTGAGGAAGCAGCTCTGGAAAACCCCCGGGGCTGCCACTCTTTGGGAGCAGCCCCGGCAGGATCCCCTCCGAGCTCCCATCCGTGCTCCCGCGCCAGGAATCCCCCTGGAGCCGATGTGGTGACAGGAGAGGCTGGAACCAAACACTCTGACATGGGAGCTGCTGCCAGGAAACCTCCTCACACAGCACATTCCCAGGCACTGAGGAATGGAAAATGGGGAAAAACAAAAGGGAACTGGAGCTGGGCTAAAAAAGAATGGAAAACCAGCGGGTTGGGGCTTTTCCAAGCAAAAGCACCCCCGGGTGTGCTGCTCTCCAGCCTGGGAATGGCCTCGGGATGGAGGCTGGCTGTGGCCAGCAAGGCTGGAGGCAGGTGGTCATTCCCTATCTGGAATTTCCCAGCCTGGGAAAACAGGGCAGCACAGTCCCCCAGGAGGTGCTTCCCACCCCAAAACCACCCCGGATCCCGGGCAGCAGGGGTTTGCTCCAGCTCAGGGACAATGGGATTCTGGGATGACGATGCCAAGTGGGTTGTTAACACCATGTGTGATCCCGACAGCTTTTATTTGTCCCTTAAATCCTTATCCCATTCCTGCTGGAGAAGTGCAGGAATGAACACCCACTGGAAAGAGGGCTTTTCCAACTATTAAATCCCAATTCCAACCCTCTGGAGCCAGCTCAGGAACAACACAGCACAGCAGGCTGGTCACAGGCACGGAACAACTCGGAAAAGCATCTCCCAGGCTGATTTTAGCTAATTGAGCTGATTTTGGGAGGAGCAGGGAAACCCCTCGATCCCTGGAGCAGCAGATCCATGGATGGGGAAGCTCCACTGAGCTCTGTCAGCTCTTACCAAGCTCATAAATATTCCAAAGCACTCACTCTGTTGAATCCTAAATGTTTGAGCACAGGGAATGACCATTCCTGGAGTTTTCACACCCCCACTGGTGTTTTCCTTAAGGGAAACAAGACCAGCAATAAACTCAGCTGCCAAAAGGCAACTTGCTGCCAAAATAACCCTTCGGGCTCGACCTGGCCCGGAGGCACGTTTTGGTTGGAATGGGCCGGGAATAACCAGCCCTGGATTGCCAAGTCCCACACCCCTGCTCCAATACAGGAAAAGGAAAAGGAATCCCAGTAGGAAAGAGCTCAAGCCTCCCAGCCAGCTCCAGTTCAGCACACCCATGGCAGAAAATCCCCCTCCTGTGCTGAGCTATCCCAAGAGCAGAGCTGTGCTCCTGCGTTTCGGGGGATGCCAGAGGTGCTCTCTCCCTGCTCCAGGTGCTCCCTGCCAGGCTGCAGGGTGGAAGTGAATCTCTGAGCACTCAGAAAGCTGCAATAAAGGGATTGCAGCAGTTGTGCCCCATCCAAAAGTACCTGCAATCCAGGTAATTCTGGGATGGATCCCAGAGCCCTGCACTTGGATTGATCGCTGCCAAGCCCAATACAACCCCCCCAGACATCCCGTTCTGCACCCTGGTCCTGGAGGAATGCCGTCAGATTCCAGCAGGAGAACATTTCAGGAATCAGCCTAAAGTCAGAGCAAGGAGGAATTGCTTCAAATAACTCGTCAGGAAAAGCTGGAAGGGCAATGGAATGGAGCCGTGCCGGCACCACTGGAATTTGCCTGCCCCCTCCTAAAAGCTGCCTCTCTGCCAGCTGGCAAAACATTCCATAAACCTTTTCCTCCTTCCAGAGCACTTCAATTTTCCCTCTCCCCCCTCCTGAAATTAGTTAAGAACCTGCTGTTTATTCCACTTAATAATTACCCGGAACAAACAGCCGAGGAATATTAAATGCAGGCAAAAATCACCCCACTGGGCTGAAGCCAAACCTGCTCCTGCAAATCCCCTCCTGATCCCAGAAGGTTTTCCTACCTGCAGGCAGCATTCCCAGCCCCATGGACCCCGGATCTCAGGCGTGGGTGGCACTGGGGGTTCCCATCCCGAGCTGCCTCCTCTTCTCCCAACTTCCAGCTGCTTTAGGAAGTGTCAGAACCCGCAGGGCTTTTGACCTTCCCTTTTTTTTTTACCGTCAACAGGATTTTAAGGGAAAAAAAACAAAGGGAAAAAAGGCCTCCAAGGGAAAGTTGTTGAATGAAAATGAGGGGCTGAGCCAGAGCCCTGAGTCAGAGCTCGTTTCCACACGCCACAAAAAGTCCTCTCTCCAAACACTGGCAGAGGAGCCGTGTCCTCACCTGGGAAAAAACATTCCAGGGGTGGGGAAGGACCAGCCCTGGCTGGGCTGGGACAGAAAGGGTTTGAATTGCACTTGGCAATCAGGAGCTCCATGGGAATTCGGGTCTCCAACCTGCTCCAGACTCTCCCTCATCCCTTGGAGCTGCTCATCCCACGTGCCAGCAGCTCCCTGGGAGCACCGGGGGGCCTTCAGGGAGATGCTCAGACTTCCAGGCTTATTCTCTCCCCCACTTCAAATAAAACTCCTCTCCCATCAGACAGACAGGTTTGATAATAAGCCTGATGCTG